TACTCAAGTGGTCGGAGTCGTCCCTCGGAGTTCCTGGTTTGAAAGAACCGGACGAGGCTTTATAATGGAATAGAGCCTTCATTATTATTATTATTATTATTATTATTATTATTATTATTATTATTATTATTATTATTATTATTATTCATGTAGCTACTTTCAAAAGTAACACTCTTCTCTTTGTTTGTAGGGCCATATGGTATTACGGGTTTGAAAGCTGAAACCATAAACACAACCACTGTGAATTTGTTTTGGTTGAAACCACTGGAGTACAAGAGCGAATATACATATCAGGTTAACACTACAGGCTGTGGCTTCCAAAGCAAAACCATCACAAGTGAATCCACGCAGATCTCAGAGCTCAACCCTGGGACCAACTGCACCTTCTGTGTCTCTGTCAGGGCAGCAGATGGCACTGAAGGGGAACAAAACTGCACCTTTGCGTACACCAGTAAGACTCCTTCCCATTATTTGTGTGTCCTTATTTCACTTTATTTCCGGTTTTTCCTTTTCAAATTTAAAATTACCAGGCATCAGGAACAACAGTGACTCAGTCTTTGCTATTATTTTTTGTGTTATCTTGTAGTTGTGATTGCAGCTGATGCTCAGACCTTGATGGTGTCACAGACATGATGCATAATTACATGATACAGTCACTTCTCTGGCATCACACAGGTCCTTGTCACAAAATCCATGTGCAGAAGGACAGTAAAACCATAACAAATGTATCGATTTGTACAGGTTTACAAGCAGTAGTATGTAGTACTTTTTCTCAATCAGCATAAAACCTTTAAAAACTTTGTGTACTCAAAGTACAAAAGTAAAATTTTACTAAGCAAAACCACCAAAATGAAAAATACCCTTATCTATTGAGGTCTTTGCTCTTACATAACCACCTGCTGTATTTGTCTTGTCTCATTCCTGGTACATTGTACACTTTCTATGTGTACACATCTGTTTATGGGATCAAATCAGCAAAGGCAATCACGTCATATTATACAAGTATGTCTTCAAAGGAAATGTGAACTGTGTTTTTATGCCTCTGCAGAGGCCTTATGTTTTTGGGTTGTCTGTCTATATGATTGTTGTCAGTAATGCCTTGAGGGAATTTCTTGAAATCTGGCACAAATGTCCACTTGGACTCAAAAATGAGCTGGTTAGACTTTGGTGGTGAAAGGTCAAGGTCAGTGACCTCACATCTGTCCCATACCCGTGAATTTGACTGGTTGGCGGAGGCATACGACCACAAAGTGGTAATTCTAGTTTATATATAAGACATAAACGCTGACAAAAAATGTATTGACTTAATCAACATTGCACTCAGTAGCACTACCAAAGTACTACACAACCTGGCATTATGATAACTTTAAATGGGGGCTTCAGGAAGGAGAACTTTGTAGGAATGTTTCCTCCAGAGCCACAGTGTCAGAATCGGCGTGTATGAATGCCAAATGGTGTTTGTGGTGGACTCGATTATAAAACCAGACGAACTGATATAGCTGAAGATTTTACTAGTAGCAACGAGACAAACAAATACACAGTCCGGGATACAAAATCAGGTCGAAAAGACAGTCCAGGGTCAGCGCCGGTAGACAGGTGTAGCCAGGAGATTCAAACTTGAGTGGTCAAGGGGAAAGCTCAGAAGGTCAGTACACTGCAGGCAATCAGAACTGGAAGGGCATAGGCAAAGCACGGTGGTCAAAAAACAGTAAGCTAAGGTCATAAACAGAGAATCAGGCAAGGAATAAATGCGGGAGAGTCAGAGCTGGGGTCTAGAACAATCTGGCAGCGTCCTGTGGGAGGACGCTGCCTAAATAGAGGTGAACACAGGTGCAGGATAATAAGGAGCAGGTGAAACTAATCTGAGTAAGGAAGAAAGTAAAAAAACCTAAGCTATGGTGAAACAAAACAGGAAGTAGAATCAAAATAAAAGCCTGACAGGAAACAGCGGAACCGAATC